ATACCGCCGACGACGTGGAATTGAGACTGCGCGAATCCCAGGCTTCAGAGATGGCGATTGTTTTCACGACGGGCGGGAAGTGCTTGCTACTGTCATGGGGATGCACAGAAATCTCCCTGATGACATACGTCCCCGCGACCACGTCTCTGGAGCAACGGTGGACATGGTGACGAAACAGATGTTGATAGAGGCGAACAGTAGGACACATGCGAAATCTTTGAGTTATCAAACCAAGAGGATTTTGGAAGGTGCAGAGTCTAAGCTGAAAAGATCTGGGTCGTATACGGGTGCTGGCAGCAACGACTCCAAAACTGGTGCCCAATCGCCACCTCGCACACCTCCCGAGCCACCGCCTGGACACGTTCATACTCGTTCCAGCAACTCCCGCAGCCAACACTTACCCTCGCACAAAAGCCCTGGTAGTCCAGCGAGTATATCGTATGATGAGGATAAGGCTCATCACCAAGAACCCGTCGATGATTTCGTCGGCAAAAAGGGCATCCCGGCAAGTGCACTACAGCGATCGGCCGACCCGGCAACAAAGTATAGGCCTGGTCAGTAATCCAAGCTATTCCGAATCCGAGGACCAATATCAAATCCCTGAAAACCGTTTGAATCGCGCCTTCACCGAAGTCGATCTATCACAAGACAACCCTTCTAGTCCCTCGTGGCAGGAACCACAGAGTACACACCGCAAGCGACGCCGAACTCCATCTGATCTGTTCTCGGGTGCTAATACTAGGAACGGCCCTCATATGTTTTCCCACGACCGACGAGAGACCTACGACCTCAATCAGCGCGATACACCCACGGCTCCACCAGGAGGAGTGTCCAGAGCTAGTACTGCGACGTTGGTTCAAGATCGACACAATGGCTCACGAGGCGGCCAACACTATCCAAACATTGGTTCAGGAATGCAGCACCCCAGATTTGTATCAATTGGTTCATCCAACGTTCCCCCTCCTATAGAAACCCGGTCAAGTCAATGCCCTCCTTCTCTGTCTCTCACCGACGCTCAGCAGTGGAAAAAGGACAAAAAGGAGCATAGACCTGTCAGGCTGCCTCATGATGATCTTCTGGCAGATCTGAACGAGAGGGATCACGTGAGTCAGCGTTGCATCTGCTGTTCTTAATACTTACAATACTGCCAGGTCTTTTTAATCGACAACTCCCTCTCCATGCGACCTTATCGTAGAGAAGTGGAGAATCTTTTCGGGTTGCTTGGATATATAGTCAAGGGGACAGACCCTGATGGTATAGAAATACAGTTCACAATGTCGCGTGATAGAAAAGAGAGAGCGAAAAACACTGGTCAGCTCCTACGAACTTTAGAGACAGTGCGATATGTTGGCACATCTAATATCAGAATACAACTGGGGGACATTTTTCAAGATTATCACGACAAATTAAGGGACCGAAAACCAACGAGATCACTATTCAGACTGTTGAAATCACCGCGGCCGGTACGACGCCAGAACTTATATATCTTTACTGATGGGATTTGGCAACCCGGCTGCGACCCAGCCCCAATGATCAAAAAGCTGGTGGGCAGCCTCGAGCAGAATTTTATGGAGAGAGAACAGTTTGGAATCCAGTTCATCCGTTTCGGCAATGATCCTGACGGTATCAATCGCCTCAATCAGCTGGACTCCGGCTTGGGCCTATCAATGTACGCATCTTGACCTCTCAGCATGCGAGCCATGGTGCTAATGATAGGCCAGGGACATTGTCGATACAGAGCATTCGGATGGGAACGTCTGGAAGATGCTTCTCGGCGCGGTCAATGACTGGTTTGACGACGATGATGTCAACGCCGACAGCAGTGCGGTAGCTTCCCCTGTTGTCGATGCATCTGCTGGCACGAACGGTCTACATCACTTATTGATTCCGGAGTACAACTCACAACCCTCTACTTTGAACGGCACTCCTTTCCATGGAGCGCGCCCCGGCACATACAACCTCTAGTCATTAGACTTGGGACAGACTGGCTTAGCATTCTGGATCATCAATCTTGGGCGGCTTTTGTGATACCCTATTGGTCGGCGCAATTGGAAAATTATGCGGCTTGCTTTTGGTTCCCATCGGTCTTTCTGATCCTCTTGTTCCGGACGCAGGGTTTGCTTTTGCGAGCCTCAGAGGATATGTCAGAATAGACATCTCCATTCATGTCAAGGCATGGGCATGCTAGAGTCAGCAATCAAAGTGAGTTTTCAGCCGAGGTTTTCAGATCGTTGTGTGCTCATGCACCCTCTCTAGTGATGTGGTGCTCTCTGCAGGAGAACATCGTGAGATTCATGACACAGCTCTTGCGGTCGAGGCGGTCAAGCCTTCCTTGCCAGCTTCCGAGCCCTTCCTGTTGGCAATATAATAGGCTATACCCAATACAATTAGGGCTAGGGCTATATATGAATGCTATGTAAATAGATCGTATACATAGATAGATAGAACATAAGGAAAGAACTTTATGTAGTGGGCATGGGCCTGATATAAATGCAAAAAGTCGCTTGCCAAATCACTGGAGATTCGTCCCTTCAAATCATCCGATTTCGGCTTGTGACCCATAGTAAATCGGATTGCTTCGGGGGTCACATCTCAGCCTTCCAGGCGTGTTAGTTCCACATATGCGCCAAGTAGACTGATTACCCTGGCACACCATAGCCATAGCTATATGGCTGTTGCCAATAGCTATATCACCTATAGCTACTGTTGCCAATGGCTATGTCACCCATAGCTACTGTTGCCAATGGCTATGTCACTCATGACTACTATTGCCCATGGCTATATTACCCATGACTATATTTACCCATAGCTATATGGCTATAGCCCCCAACCACATTATGGCTAATAACCATAAGCCGTCAAAACCAACACTCCCTCTTTATTTGGCCACTAGGAAGGCAGAGATGATAGAGCAAACAGTTGATGTCACTCTCCGAAAAGATCTTTATAGAGAAAGTAGAGAAAGTAGAGAAACAACGTAAACTTTTAATACGGCTCTTTAATTTATTCTCCTAGAATACGTAGTAGCCCTCACATATAGTAAGGTTATTTTGAGAAAGTAGATTTAGGCCTTATATGATATCGAACTTTCTCGATAGTAGTCTTTTAATTAGTCGAATAACTATATATCTCTAATAGTCTTCTATACTATTTAAATAGCTTCTTATTTAGCGATTTAGTAAGGATATTCGCTATTATTTAGACTATAGATATATAATCTATTATAACTATCTTATTCTCAACTAATTAGCGAATATAATAATACTAGATATCGATATATTTAGTTCTTTAATAATACTTAGAGTTCTTTATAAAATTAATAATTCTTTTATTATCACTAAGTAGTATTATAGAGCCTTTATCTAATACTCGAAAACGAACTTCTTATAACTATCGTATCGTTTATACGATAGTTTTATCTTCTTCTATTAAAGCTATATACTTAGCTTCTATAATAAATATAACTATCTCTTACTATTTTCGACTATATTATAAATATACTACTTATTTATATAGTAGAGCGAATTCGTAAATAGACTTATAGTTCTTCTAATTATTATCATATACTAAATCCGCGAATTCTTTTAATATTCTTATTTCTTAATAGCGTAGTTCTAGAAATATAATACCTCGTATATACTTAAGTACTCGATTTACGGCGTTTATATAGCGGATAGTAAAGTTATAGTAGAATTAACTAAGCTTTTCTATAACGAAGACTATATTAATTCATATATTAGTTATAAAAAATATAAGACTTTCTATTCGCTTCTAGTATTATAGCTAATTTATATATTCTTCTTCTAATCGACCTAGTTAAATTAACTTATATTTATCGATAAAAGTATAAATAGAAATTGTCTAGTCTATTAAATATTCTTTAAATATCTTTTCGACGTACTATACTTATTTAATAATTAAGATATAAGATTTCTAATTACGATAAACTTAAATATCGAGAATATAATTAATTAAACCTACTTCGATAGTCTTAAATTCTTTATAGATTTAATACTTAATATAGTTTATAATACTTTATAGCTTAGCTTTAATAAGAATATTATTTATATAGAATACTATAATAATTATTTTCTTTAATAATACTCGAATAAAGATATAGCTATTAGCTATAATAGCTATAAATTCTATTTTCTTAATAATATACTTAAATTTCTTATTTTAGATATAGACTAATTATTTAAGATTATATAATTCTTTCTAGAGAAGTAATATCTTATTCTTAATACTAGTTATTAATAGATAGTCTACATCTGCAAATCTGAAAAGTTCCTGCTAAATTTCAAATTGCTGATCTTGCGAATAGGGCTGAAATTAAGAATTCCGCCGGTTTAGCAACTATCTTAAAAATTAGCTAAAATTCCGCCGGTTTAATAACTATCTTAATCTTTTCTGTTAGTTCTATTAGTTTAGCAGTAATACGTATAAAAAAAGAAAAGTTCTAATAATCGACGTTGCGATGGCAAGGTTCTACGATAATGAGTATCAACGTTAACTCAAATTTGGCTATAGAATTAGATGATTTAATGAAATTAGTCGCGTAAGTAATACTCTAATATAGCGTATAATGATATATATATTAATAATAATATATATTAATATCATATGTAGAATAGTACTTAGAGTGTATTAGAGTGTATTACGTAAAATTTTTAAAGTTGCTAAAATTTTTTTGAAGTTACTAAACTAATAGAACTGGCGAAAAGAGTTAAATATAGATAAAGTCTACTTAATAGACTAAATCGTGCTAAATTATACTTATAGTACGAACTCGGCGGAAATCGTACGAAAAGAAACTTTTCAGATTTGCAGATGTAATAATAAAATTATATAGATTTTCTTATAGAGGTCGCTATTAAGATAAGTATTATTAACGTTTATTTATTCTATTAGAAGATCTATTATTATTATATATAATAGAAATAAGCGTAGGAAATTAAATCGTAGAGTAAGAGTAAAGATCTTATAAAAGTCGATATTTTCTATTTACGTAAACTCTCTAATAACGAGTCTAGTCTTAAATTTATTAATAATTTTATCGCTATTATATTTAATCTTAAAAATCTATTTAAAGATAATTAAGCGTTTATAAACTAATAGAGTAGCGAGCTTTTAAATTTCTTTAATAATTAAGACGATAATTTTCTTAATAATAGCTTACTTTTATTCGCGAGTATTTAATCTATAAATAGCTTTCTAATAAATAAAAAATTCGATTATAATATTTATAAGTTTAATCTTATTCTTTATATTAAAATTATTATAGAACTTATAAAGATTATAACTTAGCTTCTTAATATGAGACTATTATATAGAGATAGCGATTTAAAATATAAGACGTCGTTTAATATAATTAGAAGAGTTAAGAATAGATATAAATATAATAAATTATTAAATAGTACTCTTAAATATCGTTTCTTAATTTATTATTTCCTTATTACTTAAGATATTAAGAGTCTCTCTAGCTTCGCGAAGATCTAACGAAGATTTCAATTTACTTTAATATACATTTAAACTACTTAATCTCGAATTTCTATTATTATTTATATTTTTTAAGAAGTTAATAGAAATTTCTCCCTCTATTTAAAAATCTCGTATATCTTTAATTTCTTCGATTTATAACGACGATATAATATTCGATATAGATCTCTTATAATTCTTCTTCTTATTATCGTCGTTAAATATAATCTTAATACTACTCTAGACGAAGATATTATTAAAGTTATTATTATTTTAATGAGTAAGGGCGATATCTACTCGTATAGAGTTATAGACTATTAAAAACGAAGTTAGAGTTATTAATTAAACTTTCTTACGATTCTTATAAAAATAGATATTTATAGATTATTCGAATCGATTATTTCGAGAGTTATAAACTCGATACTAAGTAAATAAATAATAATTAATATATATACTCTAATAGGCTATAATATATAGCTTACTTTCTTATTTCTCTTTTAATAAATAAATTAAGTATAGATAATCGAAGACTTTTTCGTAATTTAGATTTGATTTCTTATTAAATTATAGTTCGTAGAATAATTTACTCTCTCTACTATTATATAATAGTCTATTTTTTAGATAATTTATATAGACTACGGTCTCTAACTAGAAGCTTATAAGTAAGTTTAACTAGTTAAATATAGATCTTATAAACTTAATTAATATTCTATTAAATCGTTCTACGATATTATTCTAGTATAAGATATAGATAATTATAAATTTTATAGTAATATCTTATTTCTTAAGTATATTCTCGACTAACTTATACTTTAATATATTATTAATTCTAACTAATATTACTTCTCTTATCTTAGCTATTTTATTAATTATAATTATATTTCTAAAAATAAAGATATAGATCTATTTCTTTAATATAATAGGCTCGAGGTTTAATTAATTAATAGCCTTATTAATAAGAAATATAAACTACTTACTACTCTCTATAATACTAATTATAAGATATAATCTCTAAAAGTCGATATATATTCGAGCTTCTAATACTATTTTCTTTAATCTAAGATCCTTATTAATCTATTAAATTATTTTCGTAAAGTTATATATATTATATTAAAATTCTTTTAATAATTTTATTTTCTCTATATCTCTTACGTAGAGATATAGATTCTTTAGATAATACGCTTCGATATAACTTAATTATTAATATATTAGTTAAAAATAATTAACTTATCCTTATTTTATAAATATAGATATACTTTTATTAGAAGATCTTAACTCTCTAGAAGCGAATACTCTATTAGATATCGATTTAATTAATTAATATAGACTATTTCTCATATAATCCTTTACTATCGTCTCGTCTATAGATATATTAATAATTCTAATATATAGATTCTCGAATTATATCTTAAAACTCTTTTAATTTAATACTATAATAGATAGTAGATTATTATCTATTTCTAGAATATATAAAGTATCTATTATAA